TTTTTTTGTATTTTAGTAGAGATGGGCTTTCGCCATGTTGGCCAGGCTGGTCTCGAACTCCTGACCTCGTGATCTGCCTGCCTCTGCCTCCCAAAGTGCTGGGATTACAGACGTGAGCCACTGCGCCGGAACAAATAAATAAATTTATCAGTTAGATCATTTGTGACTTTGGTTGTTCAGAAAATTAAACCTCATGTAATCCCAGCACTTTGGGAGGCTGAGGTGGGCAGATTACTCAAGCTCAGGAGTTCAGGACTAATCTGGGCAACATAGTGAGGCCTTATCTGTCTTTTTTTTTTTTTTTTAAGAAGAAAATTAAACTTGAAACCATTTGAACAAACACTGTCACTTTTTCCTCAGTACCCATTACTTTCAGATTGCAGAAATCTTCAAATATAAGTTAAAGCATTTTCTGATGTAATTGTAACCAGCTACTTTATTTTTATTTATTTGTTATTTTTCCTGAGACAGAGTCTCACTCTGTCACCCAGGCTCCTGGAGTGCATTGGTGCCATCATGACTCATTGCAGCCTTGACCTCCTGGGCTCAAGTGATTCTCTTGCCTCAACCTTCTCATTAGCTGACACTACAGACATACTTCAACATACTCCGCTAATTTTTAGTAGAGACAGGTTCCCCCTGTGTTACCCAGGCTGGTTTTGAACTCGTGGACTCAAATGATCCTTCTGTCTCATCTTCCCAAAGTGCTGATTACAGACGTGAGCCAGCATGTCTGGATACCAGCCATTTTTATATCTAGCATTGATATAAATGACTTTGATTGATATATATGTGTTCATATATACATGAACATGTCCATACATAGATGTAATATTCAGTGTTTTTTTTCAGATGTGATCAACTATTTCTGATGTATAGATATTTACTGGAATTAATGATTTTTTATGTGTTCTAAATCAAATGAGTGCCCTAGTCAAAGATACTATGATGAATATTTTTACACTTGAAACTCTTGTAATTAACTGGACCCATGGAAGCAAGAAGAATCTGGATTAACTGTTTGAAATTAAGTAAAGATTTATTTGGGCCAGGTATGGTGGCTCATGCCTGTAATCCCAGCACTTTGGGAGGCCGAGGCAGGCGGATCACGAGGTCAGGAGTTCAAGACCATCTTGGCCAACATGGTGAAACTCCGTCTCTACTAAAAATACAAAAATTAGCCAGGTATGGTGGCATGTGCCTATAATCCCAGCTACTTGGGAGGCTGAGGCAGGAGAATCGCTTGAACTGGGGAGGCAGAAGTTGCAGTGAGCTGAGATTTCACCACTGCACTCCAGCCTGGGTGATAGAG